CCCCAAAACCCCAAAACCCCGCACATCATAATTTGTTTCTATAAAAATATATAGCAATTAAAATAATGAATTCAAACTCATTCTACATTTATCACCCTTGCTATTTGAATTTCAATATTATTTGAGTCTTCTTTTGTATTGTTCATTAGCTATTTCAGCTTTCGACTTAAATAGCTTTACTCCAACCTTTTCTCCGTCTTTTTATATTTTACCTCTAGTCATAACAATCATTATTGCTCCAATTAAAGCTGCATGCTTTATCAAGAGAACCCAACTTTATTATTATGATGATTAATCATCCTTGACCCAAGGATTCACGTGGATCAAGGAATAGTATAATACAGTAATTATACCCAAGATTGATCCTATTGAATTCTCTGCTAGAATGAGACCTCCCGCCACAACTAACAAAGTAGCAGTAATGAATCTTTAAGTATCAAACATTGATTATTGATAGAAAATTCTTAGCGCATCACTTCTGCTCATTTGATCGTACTAAGAACTTGGCCATATTGCTTGCCAGAAATTAAAGTATGACTTTAGGTCATCTTATTTATCTATTGTATTAGTAATAATAAAGAACCCTAAGACCATAAAAGTAATAACGAATCCAAATCTGCCAATATTAAATACTGTTTTCTACGGAATTCTTTTAACGCCAAACAATTTAACCATTTTTTAAATTGATAATTTGATTTTAAACTGATTAAATAAGTAAAATTTTAATGCAAATTTATAATAATGAACAACTATTATCAAGCTCACACTAATTGATTAGGCTCTCAACTAAGCTAAAATTTCATCCAATCAATAATTCCATAAGAATAAATAAACTGTTTAATGCGATCAAGGGCCCTATAGAATGTTATTAACACTCAAACATACATCTCATATATTTCCTAAATGAATAGAGGAATAGGATTATTTGATTCTTTGAACTCGCCATACTCCCATTATCTATCTACCTTCCATCTTCTGATTTTTATCCAAATTACATGTCATTGAAAGTCAATCCATCTAATTCAATCATTTTTAAAGACTCAATCTTTACATTATTTGAGGAATCTCTCGTTAAGGATTGCGAATGCATTCATCATCAAGACTATTGCTTCTAAGATGCAGAATATACTAAATGCCATATTTTCTTAATCAGATAATTTCTAGTTAATTATTGATAAATTGAATTATTTGCAATTTTAAAATGCTTTAAGTGCTATAAGTCTTATATAATTATTAATAATTGCTTTAAATTTGAAGAAATGTCAGCAGCAAAAGAACAAGACGTAGATATCACCAAGGTACCTCCTCAAATGCTTGTCCAACTCCAAAAAGGATACGAATCTGAGATCGATGCCCTTACCACATCTCTCCAACAACTTCAAACTGCTATTCAGAAGTTTGGTGATTCAGGAATGGTCATTAGATATTTGAAGGAGAAATCTGCTGATAAAGATATCATGGTACCACTTACTAGCAGTCTCTACGTACCAGGAAAGATGGAAGACAACAATAGAGTCCTTGTTGAAGTAGGTGCTGGTTACTTCATCGAGCAAACTGCAGACAAGGCTAGTTAATACTGTGATAGAAAGATTAAGTAAATCACCGACAACTGCTTAAAGCTATAGGAGTTCATTTAACTCAAGAAACTCCAATTAAATAAAGTTCAAGGAGAATATCAAAATAGAGTTGATGCTATGAGAAAGCAAATGGAGCAACAACAATAACAAAAATAATGAGAGTGCTTGAGTGATGATAATTAACTTATGTGAAGGAAGATTACAACTGTGCAATGGGCGGGTACATACTTTAATAATTCACAAAATCATTGATATTTAAAATTTCAATTTCCTGATCGATTCAGCTATTCGGGGTTTTGGGGTTTTGGGGTTTTGGGG